CTCCAAGAGGAAAGCGAGGATGGAAAACTTTTTATGCTGTACTAAAGGGAACAGTCCTTTATTTGCAAAAGGTAAACATAAGTTAAATAAATGAAGCCCAGAAAACTTCATGAAATGATTTGAGAAGGTATCCAGGAAATATTTACTTTGCACAGAGGCTACATCAGACACCCTAAAAATTATTTAATTGATGTCTAAATTCTTTTTCAGATTTGTTTTTGTTTCTGGTTAAAAAATTACTTTAGAAATTATATATGTATAATTGTATATATTATATAAAGTATTTTGCACAAAATATTTTAAGGTATATGTTATATATATTTTATAGAATATATTAAATATATATAAATAGTGTATATGTGCCTGTGATCAAAACTATATTCCATTTGTGTTCAGTTAGAAATTTAAAATATAGGTTGATAAGTCAGACTGCATACAGTCTATGTAGATACAGACCTGTGGCAGCACTTGTTTCAATGGTTATTTATACTATAGATTAGTTAGATCCTTCATTTATCTCCCTCACTATTGCTATGTAACAGTATCTCTTCATTTAGTGATTTGCCTTCATTTAGATCTTACTTAAATCTAAAAACACATTTTCATTCAAGTATATAATCCAAATTATCTGGGTAAGTTTTCCGTCAGACCATTTCCTGCCTGGATCCTTTCTTCTGATCCCAGAATCTGGAAATCTGTTTGGGATCAAGTTTGTGTGTTCTAGCCTTTGTAAGGTAATCCCTGGAGCTTCTACTTCCCTAGCTCTGTATATGTGGACATGGAAATATGTGTGTTGACTGGAATAAGGTCCACTGCTTCCCAGGGCCAAACAGGATTTCAGCTCTAACTGTGAAGGGCAGCTTGGAATTTGGGCAAATAGGTGGCAATGCAGTAACAACACTGCCCTTTAATGATGACTGATAGGAAAAAATCTTATTTTTTTAATTGCGGTCAAAACACATAACATGAGATCTACCCTCAATTAATTTCTGCATGCGCAGTGGATAGTATTAGCTATCAGAACAATGTTGTACAATATGTCTGTAGAAATCTTCCATCTTGGGGGATCCCTGGGTGGCTCAGTGGTTTAGTGCCTGCCTTTGGCCCAGAGTGTGATCCTAGAGTCCCGGGATCTAGTCATGCAGTGGGTTCCCTGCATGGAGCCTGCTTCTCCCTCTGTGTCTCTGCCAATCTCTCTCTCTCTCTCTCTCTCTCTCTCTCTCTGTGTGTGTGTGTGTGTGTGTCTCATGAATAAATAAATAAAATCTTTTAAAAAAAGAAAAAGAAATCTTCCACCTTGCATGACAAATAATACCCAGTGAACAGTAATCCTCCCATTCCCCCCTTTCCCCAGTCCCTGGCACCAACCATTCTACCTTCTGTTTCAATGTGTTTGGATATTTCATATAAGTGGAAACAAGTAATATTTGTCCTTCAATGACTGGCTGATTTCATTACATAATGTGATGAAGGTTCATCCGTGTTGTAGCCTATAACAGAATTTCCTTCTTTTTTAGGGCTAATACTACATTTTTTTTACTTCATTCATTCATCTATGGGTATTTATGTTGTTTCCACCTCTGGTCATTTTAAATAATGGTGAAGTAAACATGGAGTGCAAATCTCTCTTTGATATCCTGATTTCAATTCCCATTGAAAAGGGTAACACAGAAGTGAGATCACTGGATCATATGGTAGTTCTATTTATTTTGTGAAGGAGGTCTGTATGGTTTGCCATGGTGGCTGAATTATTTTCAAGTCCCACCAACAGAGCACAGCAGTTCCAATTTCTCCATATGCATGTCAGAGTACTTCTTATTGTCTGTTGTTTTGTTTGTTTTGTGTTGTTTTGTTTTGTTTTGTTTCTATTGAGTTATAGGAATTCTTTATATATTTTGGATATTAATCCCTTATCATATACATGGCTTTCAGATATTTTCTCCCATTCTGTAGGTAGCCTTTTTACTCCCTTGTTTCCTTTGCTGTACAGAAGCTTTTTACTTTTGTGTAGTCTCACTTGTCCGTTTTTGCTTCCATTGCCTGTACTTTTGGTATCACATCCAAGAAATCATTTCCACTGTCCATGCCAACAAGCTTTTCCATTATGTTTTCTTCTAGGATTTTTAGAGTGTCACATCTTACATTTGAGACTTTATTTTGAGTTAACTTTTGTGAATGATATAAGATAAAAATGAAATTTCATTCTTTCGCATGTGGAAACCCATTTCCCTAGTACTGCTTGTGGAAGCAATCATCTTTCCCCCTTCTGCACTTGGCACTGTATGGAATATCAGTTTACTACTGGATAAGCATAGGATTATTTCTGGGGTCTCTTTTCTGTTTGTCTGTGATTCTGTCTTTATGCCAATACTATAATGTTTTAATTACTGTACCTTTGTAATATATCTTGAATTCAGGAAGTGTGAGACCTCTAAATTTGTTCTTTCTAAAGATTGCTTTGAGTGTTCAGGATCATTTCCAGTTCCATATGAATCTCAAGGAGGGTTTTTCTATTTCAGTAAAAAATACCATTGGGATTCTGATAGAGATTATATTAAATCAGTAGGTGACTTCGGGGAGTATGAACATTTTAACGCTATTGCCTTCAAATGCATGAACATGAAATGTCTTTCTATTTATTTGTTTTTTTCTTTAATTTCTTTTAGCAATGTTTTGTATCTTTCAGTGCATAAGTTTTTTTCCCTCCTTTATTAAGTTTATTCTTAAATATTTTACTGTTTTTGATGCTATTGTAAGTGAAAGTGTTTTCTTAATTACCTTTCAGGGTTGTTCATTATTAGTATATAGAAATGCACCTGATTTTTCCTCGTCAATAAATAGGTTTCTTAGTTTTAACAGGTTTTTTTGTGGTATCTTTAGAGTTTTCTATATATAAGGTCATGACATCTGTGAGTAGATAATGTTACTTCTCCAGTTTGGAAGGCTTTTATTTCTTTTTCTCACCCACTTTGGCTAAGACTTCAGAACTTTATAGAGTAGAGGAGGCGAGAGTGAGCTTCCTTGTCTTATTTTTTTCTTAGAAGAAAAACATTCAGTTTTTCGCCATTGAATATAGTGTAAGCTGTGAGCTTTTCATATATGGCTTTTATTATAGTAAGGTAATTTCCTTTTATTCCTTGTTGAATATTATCATTAAAAAGCTTTGGGGCACCTGGGCGGCTCAATAAGCCTGACCCCCCAGAGTCCTGGGGTCAAGCCCCACATTGGGCTTCCTCTCCTCCCCTCTCTTGCTATCTCTGTTTCTTAAATAAATAAATAAAACCTTCTTTAAGAAAAGTCTTCAATGTTTATTAAATGCTTTTTCTGCACCTATTGAGAGATAATCAGGTGGTTTGTAACCTTTTTTCTGTTAATATGATTTATCATATTAATTGATTTTCATACGTTGAATTATCTTTGCATCCCAGGAATAAATTCCACTTGGTCATGGTGTGTGCTCTTTTTGATGTAGTGTTGAATTTGGTTTGCTAATATTTTCTTGTGGATTTTTGCATCTATATTCTTCAGAGATACTGACCTGTAGTTTTCTTGTGTATCTTTTTCTGATTTTGGTATCAGGATAATGCTGACCTCATAAAATGAGTTAAAAGTGTTCCCTCCTCAATTTTGGGGAAGAATTTGAGAAGAATTGGCATTAATTATTCTTTAAAACTCTTCCTCAAAAGAAATTATGGGTGAGCCATCTGGTCCTGGACTTTTCTTCATGGAGGGGAATGGGTTATTATTGATTTAATCTGCTTACTAGTTATAGATCTGTTTTGATTTTTTATTTATTCATGATTCAGTCTTTTTTTTTTTTAATTTATTTATTCAGAGAGAGAGAGAGGCAGAGGGAGAAGCAGGCTCCATGCAGGGAGCCCGAAGTGGGACTCGATCCTGGGTCTCTAGGATCACACCCCAGGCTGCAGGCAGCACTAAACCACTGTGCCACCAGGGCTGCCCCATGATTCAGTCTTAACAGATTGTATTTTTTTCTGAGAATCTATCCTGTCTTCTAGGTTATCCAATTTGTTCTTAGTTGTTTCTTATAATCCTTTTAATTTCTGTGGCTTCAATTGTAATGCCTCATTTTTCATTTCTGATATTATTTATTTGTAGTGTATCTAAAGGATTGTCAGTTTTATTAATCTTTTCAGAAAACCAATTCTTGGGGTTCCTGGGTAGTTCAGTTGGTTAAGCATCCGACTCAATCTCAGCTCAGGTCTTGAGTTCAAGTCCCTTGATGGGCTCCAATTTGGGCATGGAGTGTACCTACTTAAAAAAAAATTCTGTTTCACTGATTTTTTTTCATATTGTTTTTCTGGCTTCTGCTCCTTTAATTACTGCTTTAGGGATCGGATCCCTGGGTGGCGCAGCGGTTTGGCGCCTGCCTTTGGCCCAGGGCATGATCCTGGAGACCCAGGATCGAATCCCACGTCGGGCTCCCGGTGCATGGAGCCTGCTTCTCCCTCTGCCTGTGTCTCTGCCTCTCTCTCTCTCTCTGTCTCTCTCTGTGACTATCATAAATAAATAAATAAAAAATTAAAAAAAAATTACTGCTTTAACTCAAAAAACCTTTAAATATAAAGTGAGCCTCTTATAAACAACATAGTTAGGGGTTGTTTTATTATCCACTGAGAAACTCTCTATTTTGATTGGAGAGTTTAATCCATTTACATTTAACTATTAATAGTGAGGGACTTACTACTAGCATTTTGTAAAGTGTTGTCTCTTTTGTGGCCTTTTGACACATTTTTCCTCTATCAGTGTCTTAGGCATTTTGTTGATGTTTTGTAGAAACATGTTTTTATTGCTTTCTCATTTTCTGTTGTGCATCTTCTGTATATATTTCCTTTGTGGTTACCATGGGGCTTACATAAAATATTTTATAGTTCTAACAGTCTCTTTTAAGATGACAACAGCTTAACTTCAATCATATACAAAAACATACACTTTCACTGCCGACCACAACATGCACAATTTATGATATTGATGTCAGAATTCTTTTGACAAAGCTTTGTGTTTAAAGTTATTCTTGATACCTTTCTCTTTTAACTTGCATGCTGTAGTT